CCACAAACACAAAGTTTGTGGCTGACCGATATGGCTCACCATCATTTAGCTATTGCTATTCTAGTAATGGAATTCCATATCGTGAATCCTTTATTCTTGGCCGCTTCAAGATATGATGACTAATTAAAAAATATCAACCTTGGGATAAAGAGTTTACACTGCTTATGTTTACTTCCAACACCAATACTAAGATCGGCTAAAACAAAATGATATCCCAAAGGGATAACTAAAAAACTTAATACATCTGTATCCTTAACATACTGAAACGATTGTCATTATTCGTATCAAACCAATAGCGATTCATACAAGCTAAATCTTCTAATCAATGGTGGGCATCTATCCTTTCATAATTCGTAATTCATCCTTGTATTGTTTGTTGGATTAGGTCTAACTTTCTTGACCAATTCCTATTACTGGTAAAAAGATACAGGTTAAAATAAAGAGTTCTCGTGGTCCAGAATCCACTAAATTTGCGTTTGGAACATTAAATAGCTTGTATCCATAACTCTGACTCTAACATCTTTTCCCTTGGCCATGAACCTCCTTTCCTTTTTGGATTGACTTAACTTAATTCTTCTACTTATTCTTTTATTCTTCTATTTTGAATCCGAAGAAGAAGAATAAAATTCATTAGAATAATTTTTCTTGCCCCCTCTTTTTTATTCACTTTATTACTTCTGTTCTAGACCCTATCCCTATGGTTTATTCTTATGAAATATCATATAAAATAGAAAAAAGAACTTACTATCTTTGGGATCTGATACTACACCGCTGCTTAATCCCTTAGTGGATCGGCTCTCTAAATAAACTATTCCAATGAAAAGATTGAAAGTTTTTGGTAGTTATAGAATTCTCGTACTTCTTCAACTCGAATACCAAAAGGAAGAAAAAAATATGACTAAGTGCTCAATGGTAGAGTACTCGGCTTTTAAGTGCGACTATGATCTTTTACAGTGGGTTCTCATCCTTCAGAGACTACGAGTGTAATAGGAGCATCCGTTGACAAAAGGATCACCCTAAGATGATCATCTCATGGCTATTGGGAACGAATCAAATCAGATGGTTCTATTTCTCAACCTTTTTGACTTGCTCCAAACTATAGCTATTGCATTAAAGAAGAAAAGAAACTAATAGAAGTCGAAGACGCGGAATGATAGTGAATAGAGAGAAAGATTCTTCTGATTTTCCGTCGATGGAGGTAGAGTGCTGCATGACTTTGCCATCTTTGGATTGTATGTCAAGCCTTCCGAAATCTTCGTAGAATTCTCCATGGGCCGCCCAATGTGGCCTAGGACAGAACCGACCTAGGGGTCCTGGCCTCAACCCACCAGGCCGGGAACCGACGTGATGAGGGACCCTGAGTCAGGACACTGACACCAATCAAATAACCTTTCCAAAAGAGGGCAAACAAGTAAATGACCGACTCAATACGCCAACGGCGCGAGAGGTGCACATTTGCTTGACAGTTGACGCGCTTCTTATGAAATAGGAATAGTGTTCTCACATTCCCTATTCCCCATCTTGAAGTTGTGGGAGATGAAGGCCTGGTCAGGGCTAAGAGGAAGAGAAAGCCCAACTACAAACTGAAGCCAACAACCTAACAATTGTGACCCATTGGTATAACCAACAAACCAGAGTGGTGGGGGTATGTTGGGTGCATATTATAATTTGGCTTTTATATTCTCCACCACCTCCTTTGTCTATCCTACGATCCCCTTCTTTGAATGCATTTGACACCTCTCATCTCTGATCTCTCTATGCATTTAGATTAGGCATGACTTCTATCTCAAAATGGAGCTCTATGTGTGTTCAGGTACAATGGCATTGCTGTTGAAGAATCATGCACGACGGGGCACACCATGGAGCAAGGAGTTAGAGGAGGAGAAGCGGACTGGATGATGTTGGAATGCACCATGAAGAAGGGTTCTGAAGGCCTCGGAACTTCCGCCCCCTTGCCTCGAAACTTTTGGAACACTGCGATGCCAGACTGTGCAAACTCTCGGATGATCTAGAACTCCCCCCAAAATGTCCCTGGAATTTGCACATAATATACATACAAATTGCACTTTTTGTAATATGCCAGAATAAGCATATAATAGTGCAATCTTCGCGAAATATAATTTTCCTAAGAAAGAATGAATGAGTGGCATTTATATTACCTTAGAAAAGAAAGAAAGAAAATGAAATAATAACGAAACAAAATCAAATTAATGAAGTTTTGTAAGGCAATGAAATACTGACATTGGTATTACCTTTGAAGAAAAAATAAAAGAAAATCAAAGTAATGAAGTTTCTAAGGAAGAGTGAATTAGTGGCTTTGGTATTACACTTTAAGAAGAAAGCAAATGAAGAAAACCAAAACAAATGATGACAAAGTTTGCACATAATTTACTTAGAAAATGTATTTTAAATTAATATGCAAGAATAATCATATAAGAGCAAAAATTTCGCAAAAGAGAAGTTTTTAAGAAGGCGTGAATTAGTGACATTGAAATTACTCTTAAAATAAGAATGAAAATGAAATATAGAATAAAATAAAATATAAAATAATGATGTTTTGTGATGAAGAATGGATCAGAGGCATTTGTATTTCCCTTCCAGAAAAATAAAATAAAATAAATAATTACAAAATTTGTGCACAATTTACAAAAAGAAATGTTTTTATAATATTCAAGAATAAGAAATGATAGTGGAACTTTTGAAAAGGAAATGTTTTCTAGGAAAGTATGAATTTGTGACATTGATATTACCCCTAAAGAAGAAAAGAATAAAGAAAACTAAGATATTATTTAAAAGAGCATTCTATAAAAGATGACCTAATGGCATCGTTATTACCCCTTAACAAGAGAGGGAAAACAAATCTTGCACACAACTTTGCACTAAAATTACACTGTTTGTTGTATGTAAAGAATAACCATATAATAATGTAATTTTCACACTCTAGAATAATTTACACACATTTACACTTATCCAACATCCCAAAAATACCTATATAAAGAAACCTTAAAACAAAGAAAACAAAAGCAATAACACATACAGAAAACATGCAATGGATAACAGGCTTCACGCCCAATGAAAAAATTGACCGACCAAAATAGGGGCAAGTTAAAAATTCAGCGCAACAAACCATGAAACAACGGAAGGAAAAAAACACACACACGATATTGACAAAAGAATCAACAGTGTGAAAACCGACCCTCCCAAATTTAAAATCAGGCAACTTACATAATATACTCAAGTGATGCGTCTAACAGTTACTAGACACAAGTAAAAAATATGTCTCATATTTTATGCTTTTTTATACTATTTTTTGCGAATACGCAAAAGACTTGCGTAGCATTGCATGGATAGGAGAAAAAGATTGTAGCAATTACAGCTGTGAGCTCACAACCACATACACGGCACATGGTGTGAGCAAGAGGCTTTTTATACATATTACCTCAGTCCCAAAAATCTTATCTTATATTTATCTAGATATGAGTTTTTGCATCTGGATACATCCGTATCATCCAGGATAAGTAATTTAAGACGGGGAGTATATCTTTACCTAATATTAAGGGACAGAGACTTTCATAGTTTTCCATCAGTTATCTATTTATAATCTTTGATTTTGCGATAACCAATAAAGATTGACCGCTAAGATTTAATATTACTATTAGCCTTTATGTTTCTCGCATGTTTATGAGGGCAAGAAAAAAATACTACACACACTAGGATCAAACTCCAGACTTCCTGCCCGGTCAAGGAGGGCACGACCAGCAAAGCTAGACAATGGTTTTGTTTAAAAGCAAGATTCATTATCTACTAAAATAGTCCAATCTAGTTCTTTTATATACTAAATCTCACGAGTTTTTCTATGAGTTGCTGAGAAGATAAGCGAGTTATCTCAAGAATCATCAAGAAAAAGCGAACCGGTGTGGCTGCATGTACCCCCAAAAAAGAGATCCAATATAGAATTTACATGCGTGGTACATATATAGATGTGTGTCGGTCGGATCTAATTAAATGGAAGGGGCTGGATTTGTGGTCTTTGATTAAGCAAATTATGAAAACTTTCTGAGGGATGTGCACTAATAGAAGAGGGACATGCACACACACCATATTTGTGCTTGGTAATAAATGGTATTGTGGGATTGATTGGCTCCTAATTAAGTGAGATTGTGTAACTGAAGATTTCTACGGATGTGCATTCAAATAATAAAATATGGATGTGCACAGAACATTATTTGTGATCGGTATAACATATGGAAATTAAGATTTGGATCCTACTGAACTGAGCTAGCCGCACGGCGGCGGGCATGGACAAGCCAGTAGAAAAGGTTGAGGAAGAGCACGTATGTCGAATATTCTGATGGGGACGGTTCGTGCAAGAAACCGCCACTAGGGCGAGGTTGAGCCAGCGGCATGTGGGCGATAATTCCGAGTTATGCTGGCGACATACTTCTCTACATAACATTCGACCTGATCGACAACTTTCGAGAGCTGGCATATGTTGTCATTGTGCTCCTCCTTAATTCTTTCTTTGTTACCCTAGGATCTTTATTTTGCAGTCTTTGAATTGTATTCATTTTGTTATACAAAAACAAAAAGGTTCTACTATTTGTTGATGATGTTTTTTCTATTTAATTTTAAAATTTTAAAATGAACTAATAATCTAAAGTTAACGTTGTGCATCCAAGTCATCTATACTACTATTAAACAATCAAACAAGAACTTTTTTAAGCACACCCCACAAAGCGTACACAGATTCAATACCACCTCACGATTAGGCCCACTAAAATCAATCTAACGGTTAGCCTTAACCTAAACCATTTTCTGTATGCACTTAGCAATTTATATTGACTGACCGTACTCCACCGTGGAGGAAAAAATATGAAACTCCACGCCTAAGCAATTAGGAAACTAATAATCATGGGTGCATCCTATTCTAGGAAACTAAATCAGAGTGCATCCATCCTATTAGGAAACTAATCTCAGACAAATCCATCCTATTAAAAAACTTATCTCGGACGCATCCATCCTATTAGGAAGCTAATCGCGAGCCGCGAGCCGCCATCATGCACGCAAGCCACGATGGGGGAAGCGCGAGGAGCTTCGTCTTTCTCTGGGAACACGCGTGCTATCGCCGCCATCGTCTTCTGTTTCGAGGCCATGCGCTCTTCTGCCACTACAGCGACGACTCCATCCACGTTCAGGGCATGCTCTCCGGCAACCATCGGCATCCGCGTTGACTTCAGCTCCGTTCGCAGCACCCATGCCGACAAAGTGTCTGTTCAGTGGGTGGACGTGCATTACATATTAAATAAGAATCGTGGGGCTTTAAGCAATCTATAATTATAGATTTGGGATTATCTTAGGTTGCCGATTGTTGTACTGAAAATGTGTAATTATATATGGCACGTACATAAGAATGCAGCAATCTTGTCTTACAACGTAGGATCAAGAGGGATACTCAAGATGCAGAGTCTATTTCCCATGATTACTTCTCATGTTCATGTCGGCTTCCTTGGGCTTTACTTCGTACCACCATATGCATTAAACTGCACCGTATCAAGAGGTAACGCCATCCCCTTGATTAGAATTGCCTTATTTGTGCTATTTGATCAGTGTGTGTTTTACGTATGACGTTGCTTTACCTGGAATTAAGGTGGGTTCCACCTGCCTAGGCACTATCTCCAGGGATAGGTTGGAAATCAGAATATATGATTCATTCTTAGAGAAAACTTTACACGCGTCATTTTAACATAATTGCATAGCAATCCAGTAAATTATGTAAGATTCAGTAGGAGGCAAGATATTGAAGATGTACTACTATTTCAGTTACATGATTCTATACATCTAAAACGGGTCACATGACTCCGTAACTGTTGTTAGAGAATATCTCTCGCTGTTCTGTAAAGGTATGTAATCTCTACTGCGTTTCAATAAAGAGAATTTTACCATACAGAAGGATCCAATGAAGAAACTAATTCGGCTGAATTCCAATAAATAGATCCTTTAAAGAATCTGTCCTAATACAACTGCCGTATATTGGTACAGATAAATCATATAAACCGTACTCAGTCGGATTTTTTTTGTTTCATGACAGAGAAACCAAATAACTTTTGCTATTTTGGCACATATATTTATTCTTATATACTTGTGCAGTTTTGAATGATCCAACATATCTGCAGTAAACTAACTTGAAGACATGCTGTTTAAGGCCTTATTTGCACCGCCTCTCTTTCTTTGTCTGTGCGCCTCTTTCCTCCAATAATAATAATGAACAACTTTTTTCGGATCAGGTATTACACTGTTACAAATGTATGCTGAAGTTACTCCTTACGACAAGGAAAAAGAGAATGAATGCTTTCTATCTTCACCAGTTTTGTAGCATGTTCCAAATTGTTGGCTCTTTTTTATTTGAGAATTCATCATTTTTTTTGTAATTTAGAAGCTGACCTGAAAGCTTGATAAGGTTAAGCTTGACAAATACTCTAGAATACTTTTCCTTCCATCTTTATTTTTCTTCATAACTTATTTCAGTTTCTATACGTACAAAGCGTCTTACATCATTGTAAGTTGGTATGGTTGCCAACGCATAAACACATACAAAACCGAATAAATAATTTCTATCATGATAATTATTGGATTTCTTCTAGCCCTTTTACATTTCAATTAGTTCTTGTAAATCATCTTTATTTCATATAGAATTCATTGTAGTCACATATCATCTTCTATTTTCTATTATCCATAGTAGGTAGCTATATAATTTTGGCAGTCCACACAACCAAAAAATATATATAATTTGATCCAAATTAGTACAAATATATATTTTGCTATGCAGATTAGTAGAATAAAATAAGATTCGAAAATTAAGCATCTTGAACAATATAATTGCACCGTAAGGCAGTTTATACTTTTTTTCCTGGCTACACTCGAAGAGAAGACTATACTACATGCCTATATTGCTGCATTAATAAATAATTGCTGATTTTATTTAAATGAGAATATTTTTCTGCTATTACTCTATGCAGCAACATAACCACTATTGTGTCTCGCTTTTGAAAATACAATTTGAGCAACATCAAACATTTTGTATCCATTTGATTTATATTTTTAAAATTTTTTATTTTTTTATATTATGTGAATTCACCTGTTTTACGTTTGAGACGTGTGTTGCACGTGCATGCTTACTAGTTTGACTAGAAATCATATCCCATGTCCTGGACTAGCGTCCCAAAAAAAAATTCGCCCTTGGTTGATCCATCATTTTTTTAATTTTCGACTAATGTCTCGTGACATATAGTTCCTAGACACATTTAATAGTTGATCATGGCAACATGTGTTTTCTCTATAACGAAACACGGATTTGAACCATGCAATCTCTTAGGATGTGGAAATATGAGTTGGACGAGGTAGGGGGAGAAGGTGATTATTTTGTTTTTCCCGTTGCAACGCACGGGCATGTTTGCTAGTGATATACTTCTCGTAATTCCGACTTTGGCCCTCCAGAAAAAGAAAAATATCTCTCCCCTGATTGCATGTATCTCTCCTTGTAAAGAAAGAAAAGGAAACTATATCTCTCCCGATTGCGTGTATCTCTTCCTTTTCTAGCCTAAATGATTTACTTGCCGCTAATCTACTAAATAGACAAGGGTAATTTTGTCCTAAATAGTCCATAATTATGTGCCTTCGTTAAAATATTGAAAATAATACACCTTCGATAAAGGAATGGAGGGAGTATAATGTATCCAGTATTTTTCTCTCTTGTTTTATTTTATTTTGCTCAATACGCAATAGCTGTTCGCAACGGAGCGTTACCCAGATCCAAGTCTGGATTTGAATCCCTTCGGCCGATTTGCTTTCAGCGGCGACAGAAGCTTTGCAAATACAAAGTGAGATTGAGAGCGAGAGTTCAGACACAACAACAAAAATGAGAAGGCGAAAGCGACCTGATCTTCTTCTTCTTCCACGACAAACCTTTGCTTTTTCCTCTGGCGACAGCTGCGGCACGACGCTGAAATTCTCTCGACTCGATCCATTCCATCCTCCATGCCAAAAAGGGGCCGGGCCGAGCAGTCAAAGACGAACCTGAACGGAAAGAGACCGGCCGGCCGTCGGCGTCACGCTCCCAGAGCTCGCCCCGAGGCCCCAACACATGACAGATGACATGACCAAGTAAAAAAGCTCCGCAGAGATCACAAACCCTGCTTTGCTCAGCTGCAGCAGCCAGCAGCCAGCACAGCAGCAGATGCCTCGTTTCACTGTCACGTGGGACCACGCACCGACTAAAACCACCATCCCTATCCACTTTGTTCACGTCGGCGCTGGCCTACCGGACCGGCGTACGGCCCCCACGGCGTTCGTCTCCGATGAGCGAAGTTGTCGCGGGAGATCACCCAGGAGTTGTTATCACAGTTTACTTTAGCCAGTTTCCATGCAAACAAAGAGTTTGGATCGAGAGCGACGGTACATTTGGCAAAGGCGCAGCCACGTTGTCGTAGCACAAAACATCTCGACCACACGAAAAGAAGAGGAAAAGGAGAGACCAGAACGCATACGGGGTACGGTAAGTAAATGCCCGTCACGCTCACCGCGGCAAAAGGCCAGTAAAAGCTCGTCCGCGCGGTACCAAATTGTACGCACACCTTCTCTCCCACCAGTACCACGTTACGCGTGGTACGGGAGGTGCGATCCGCGCCGTCTTCAATGCCGACGCCACCGAGAAGGCAATGCGGCCGGCGCACGGCCCCTCACGGCCTGGACGCGTACGCGCCGATCCGGCGACGTATATTTTCAGTTTTCGTGCAGATCCACGAGACTGTTCTCGCGCCAACGTAGAGCTGGTACATTTGCGAGGGCCGTGTACACCCGCGGGAGATCGCCGAGGATTCTGATGCTTTGGCCTGTGTTCCTGTACGTGCTGGTACGGCACAGCGTACGCGGCAAGGGCTTAAATCACGTACGGGCACTCCCTTGCATCTTCAGCATCGCCCCGTCCGTGGTTCGGAGAAAGGTTGATTAAATGGAGGCGTAGAGGCGACAGTTTCAATTAGCATAGTGTGCACTTACGCCGCTGTCTGCTCGGAGCATCCGGCACGGCCGTCTTACGCGAAGCTTATCTGAACCCCGAGAGCAAATTCCGAGCAAAATCCGTGTGTTTTACAAGACAAGTTAAAGCAACTCCAACGGGCCGACCCAAACGGACGGTGATTTCGTCCGCTTTTTGTCTGTTTGGGTCGGCCGCCCGCCCAACGTTCGCCCTGTTTTTCATATGGGTCGGCAGCGCGCCCAACGTGCCGACTCATATGTGCAGGCGTGGCCGGCTGGCCGCCCAATTTTACATTGCCTTCTCACATATGGTGAAATGAAAATTAAACAAACAAAATAGTCCGCCCAAATAAATAGTATAGTTTATAGGCCAAATAAAAATAAAAATGTTTCACATAGTTTTGCAAAACGAATAAAAAAATATATCTATTGGTTGCCAACATGAGTCCACATATACTCAATCAAATCATTTTGCAGTTGCATGTGAGTTTCCCAACCACGCGTGTCTTCATGAAACTGAGTGAACTGCTCAAATGTTGTCGCTACTCCATGCTCATGCACAACATTCTCACCCTGAAACTGAAAGCCTTGATCGTACAGACATTTCGGGCGCTCGTCTTCTACGATCATGTTGTGCATGATCACACAAGCAGTCATCACCTCTCATAATTTCTGCGTGCTCCAAGTATTAGCAGGATACTGAACGATGCCCCATCGAGACTGCAAAACACCAAAGGCACGCTCGACATCCTTTCTAGCACTCTCTTGCTTTTGGGCAAATCTTTTCCTTTTGTCTCCGACAGGGTTGGGTATTGTCTTGACAATAGTGGTCCACTGAGGATAGATACCGTCACCCAGATAATACCCTTTGTCGTAGGTGTGACCGTTGACAGTAAAGTTCACCGGTGGGCTGTTGCCTTCGGCAAGCCTAGTAAACACCGGCGAGCGCTGAAGCACGTTGATATCATTGTGTGATCCAGCCATGCCAAGGAAAGAGTGCCATATCCAGAGATCTTGAGACGCCACGGCCTCTAGTATGACAGTGCAAGCCCTGACATGTCCCTTATACTGCCCTTGCCAAGCAGAAGGGCAGTTCTTCCACTCCCAGTGCACGTAGTCTATGCTGCCAAGCATCCCCGAGAAGCCCCTGCTAGCATTCATCCCACAAACGGGCTGTATCTTCAGCTGTCGGCTCTCTCAAGTACTCAGGGCCAAACACAGCAATCACAGCCTTGCAGAACTTATACAGGGACTCTAGGCATATAGACTCGCTCATACGGACGTACTTGTCAATGAGATCACCGGGCACTCCGTATGCAAGCATTCGGATGGCGGCAGTGCATTTCTGATAAGAGGAGAAACCAATCTTGCCGACGACATCCTCTTTGCACTCAAAGTAGTCATCATAGCCGACCACTCCCTCTCTAATACGGTTGAAAACGTGCCTACCCATACGGAACCGGCGGCGGAATTTGTGATGTTTGAACAACGGGTTTGTTGTATCAAAGTAGTCCTTCTAGAGAAGGAAATGCCCGCTCTCCCGGTTACGATTCAACGCCGGAAGGTGGTCCGGAATGGAGCCACGGAACAACGGCAGCTGGTTGTTGAGGTGGTGACCAACACAGCAGCCACTATCTCCTCTTTGTCGTCGGACGAATCGTCGGGGTCGCAAAGAAAACTGTGAAAAAAGAACTCGTCGGCGGAGTCCATTTTCGTACCTTGGTAAACTGTCGAACAGCTTGCGGGCGTCGAAGAAGGAGACGGCCAGCGAGGGGAGACGCGGCGCCCACAGACCAGCTAGCTGCCCGGCCGGCGTCCGACGAGGGTGATGGCGTCCGACGAGGGTGACGGTCGTCTGTGGCTGGGGCAACGAGGCGTCTTCTTGGTCGCGGGGCGGCTGGGCGTGAGGGAAACAGCGGCGGGGAACCAGCTTGCTCCCCGGCGGCAAAACGGCGGTGACGAGCGACTGGGGGCAGGGGCGGCGTTGCTGGGCGGATGTGGAGGCGGCGGTAGCTGGAAGAGTCGCCGGCAAAATGGGTGGCGCCGTCGCGAAGGAGGCGAAGGCGAGGGTTGCTTGTTGGTGGGGGGGAGGGAAGGCCAATGTACCACAAACGAGCGGGCCCGGGGACAGGAGTAGGCGAGCAAGCGCGCGTCCGTCGCGTGTCCGCGCCGACGCAAATCAGGCTAAAAAATGGGCCGGGAATGGGTCGGCCGCGGACGAAAAATGGACAAGCGTCCGTTTGGATCAGCGCGTTGGGCCATTTTTTCTGTCCACGCCGACCCAAACGAATGGGCGCGGACGAAATGGGTCGCGCAATTGGAGTTGCTTTTATTATATATGAAAATAAAAAGAACAGGTGCGGACACGAGGTGAAAGCTGTTCGAACCAAAATAGCTTGACCAGTTGATAATGACAAGAGGAAACAGGGGAACCGCCGAACCGAGCAAAGTGAATTCACCGGGAATGCGGGGTCAAAAGGAAAATCAATGGAAATGATGCAGAGCAGAGTTCACTACGAGAAGACCACTTTCTTTGTGCCACAATCACTCCGCCATAAGTTGTTTAATAAGTTCACAGCGGCGCAAATCTGCAAGCCAAGCAAGCAAGTAATCACAAATCAGGACCCCAGAGTTCAGGCTTGAGATCCGCAGATGCATGCATTATGATTGCTCAGAGGGCTAGCGCGTAGAAGCCAAGTACAACGTGAACGCCCCACAGCGAAAGGTCGATCCCATGATCTCTCACACATAACATCACGAAATGCAATCAACAACACACATGCTTATACACCACGCCAACCAAAAGAACTGTGAGCTTGTAACCATTGTTCATCATTTTCATTCAATCTCGTACAACATCTTACTACAAATTTCAACAGCGAATGCTTGCCACATTGCCATATTTGATGATCATCATAAAAAACACCACTGATCCTAACACCACCATCTCATCGTCATTGCCATATTACTCACTCACTGTCTATACAACAGAGACACAAGCACATACACTTACACCAGCTAAACAAAAAACTACACCTATAAACCACAATTATTAAAGCACCAACTTGTTCTTCTGTCTGTGACGTTGCTATCCCTTTCCCAAACAAAAAAGAATAATAATCCACAGTAAAACACCAGTAATCTTGACAAATTTAATCAAAGAATCAGAGACCACCGTTTGCAATCTCCTCCATTCTTGTCCTTGCTCCTCCCTCCCCGATCAGAGGCGATCCGGCGGCGATCGTTTTTGTCGTGGCTCCTGAGAGCAGCCACCCATGTCAGCCCCTCCATTCCGGGCACTGGTCGGCCGGCCGGGTGTTCTGCGTGCCGGCCTTGATCGGGCACGGCGCGTACACCGGCGGCACCATGCAGTTGTACATCAGGCAGAGCGAGACGCCGGAGGGGAGCGACGACGACGGCGATATCTCGATGCCGGTCAGGAAGTTGTGCTGCAGGTACAGCAGCTGCAGCCCGCCGGTGCCCACCAGCTCCTGCACCAGCCGCGACGGCACGTCGCCGGTGAACCGGTTGTTGTTCAGGTACAGCTGCCCGACGCCCGCCAGGAGCGGCGACAGAGGCCCCCAGAACCGGTTGTAGCTCAGGTCCACCACCGGGATCGTCACGTCGCTCGTCGGCTGGAGGAGGCCGGAGAAGAAGTTGCGCTGGAGCTGGAGCACGGAGAGCGGCAACGTGAAGACGGACGCCGGGACCGGCCCCTGGAGCTGGTTCATGCTGAGGTCGAGGTAGTTGAGCCGAGTCAGCCGGGGCAGCATGGAGTCGACGTTGCCGGTGAGACGGTTCGCCGCGAGCGAGAGGTACTGCAGCGAGCCCGGCAGGCTGGGCACGCCGCCGGAGAGGGCATTGTGCTTGAGGTCCATCCGGAGGAGCGGCGAGGAGTCCGGGAATGAGGGGATGCCACCGGTGAGCTGGTTGTGGCAGAGGATGAGGTTGGTGATCGATGGCAGCGACGCAATGGACGGCGGGATGGCGCCGGAGATCTGGTTGAAGCTGACGTCGAGCGTCCGGAGGTTGGACAGCGCGCCAATGCCGTCCGGTATCCCGCCGGAGAGGAGGTTCTTGCTGACGGCCAGGAAGCGGAGGTTGGAGCAGGAGGCGAGGGAGGCCGGGAGCTCGCCCTGGACGCGGCCGGGCACGAGCGAGAGCTCGGTGAGCGCCGACATCCGGCCGAGCGCCGGGTCGAGCCTCCCGGTGAGCCCCGGCGACCCGGCCCTGGGGTCGCCGAGCGCGAGCGCCGACACCCTGTTCCCGTCGCAGTAGACGCCGGGGAAGCCGCAGGGGTCCGCCGTGAAGTCCCAGGCGTCGAAGAAGGCGGAGCCCGGCATGTCGTCGAGCGACCTCCGCACCGCCTGCAGCGCGAGGAAGTCCACCGGGTCGAGAATGCCCTCCGCCGCGAGCGCCGCCGCCAAGAAGTACACCGCCACGACAGCGCCGAGCCGCGCCATCCCCCACGAAAGCGCCTCGGTTCAAGCTCGCTCGCAATGGAGCGGAAGAGGCCTTCTGCAAGAAGGAAGAATTAAAAGCGCCGATCAACCTCGTGGCGGGAGAGCTCGCTCGCTCGCGGCGTGGGAATCTTTAAGGTGGCGCGCCGTCCTCCCCTCCCCTCCCTTAAAGGCGCGCGGTGCGGCGGGCGTTGGCGGCCTTTGCTGCTGCTCCCGTGAGGGGAGGAATGGAGCACGCACGCACGCACTCTCTCTTTCTCGTGGAGGAATGGAGGTGGCGGTGCCGCGTGAGCGCCTTTAATGGCGGTGTCGCGTGGCGGTGGTTGGCGCGCTCACTCCACTCCGCTCCGGTAGAAGAAGGAAGGCTTTGCCGCGAAGCCAGCCGGCCGGCCACGACGGCAGCACTAGCGAGGCGGCGGTGGCGCAATGATGGTGGCTTGGCGAGGACGGATTCGGTCGGAGGTGGAGACGAAGTGGCGCGGTGGGAGTTATCAACTCTGGCTTCCTCTGCTCTCCCTTTCTCTCCTTCGCGAGCGCTCGCCCACCACCTGTCGCGGTTTTTAGCGGCTCGGTGGCTCAAACGGCTGTCCGAGCCTGAGGCTCGGGTGGGGTCGCGCGCGCGTTCGGAGGGGATGACATGCGGGCCCCGCGCTCGTCCATGTGGCTGTTGGGCGCCATGAATGCCTCCGGCCTGGGGAGCCGGGATGGTTCCGCGGCAGTAAAAAAACTAGCTGTTGGCGATACGTGAGGGCGAGATTCATCCGTGGTCCCGCCTCGGGTGGGGCCGTGTTCGGCCGGGCCCAAGTGGCAGTGACGGTGGTCGTGGGGGTTGCTGGATCTACCTGCGCTGTTGGCGTTTTCTCTGAGCTGGAGGGGCACTGGGTTTTAGGACGGGTTTGGTGCGTGTACCGTAGCTGCTCCTCCAGCTCCGCTGTGGTGTGTGTGGCTTGTCAGGTGCGGCGCTCGTGTATGTGTTCTGGTCGTGTCGTTGGATCTAACGTGGGTAAAAGAACTGGCTATGGAGATTGCAATGCTTTTTTACAAAATGTGTGATGGAAGGGAAACATACGGTTCTGATGAGATGGGATGATTATAGGCATTGCTTCTTTGTGTTTGTGTGTGCATAAGCTAAGGCAAGAGGCAGAAATGAGTGACACGGGCGATGGCAGATTTGAATAACACTTGGTTGGTTGATCTACGGAGCTTGTGGGTAGATGCAGGACACACCGCATCGGACACGGAAGTTGCTATCGCGAAGATGACAAGATCCCTGATGATTCCCAAGATGTGCGTGCATGCATGTCCACACACACATAGCCACTATCCACATCACCGGCGCCGTTCAGTGTGCTTGGTTCCTTCGGGCTTACCCTTACCCAAATTGTACGCGCAGCTCCGCTGGCTGGCGAGAACGTGCTTTTTTTTACCTCTACGGGACCAACACGGCCATTTGTAGCCTGATGCCCTGATCCACTATGTCAGGGGCAGTAAAGTTAACGCAGCGGAACAGGGCAATTAGCCAGAGGCAGTAATGTAACAGTCAGAGATGGAGTTGTTGCGCCGTTGGATTCTTGCGGCCTCGCTTCTTCTTCCGTGGAGGGAGCATCGTCGTCCCGACATGGAAGCACGGCCGAGTGGGGTGGGAAATGGGCCGTGCGGGGCCGAGGAAAACCAACGGTAAAAAGCAAGTGGACGCCGAGATGCAGCGCCGCGTGGCGACGTGACGAACACGTGCGGCCACGGTCACAGTGACCGATTCACGCTCGCTGGATTTTTTAGCTAATTGCGCGTGGACTTTAGTGGGTTAGGGCACTGTCGCGCATCTGATTACTGAACGTTCTTACGACTATTAATTTCGTTCGTGCGACGAGCTGGGGGTGTTCTTCTTTTTATCGCCACGACGGGGCCTCTCGGGGCACGCAGGCGCGCGGCAGCACGACCTCTCCAACTAAGATACAGGAAAAGCTTAAAGCATCAGACCGGTACCACTATTTTTTTTACTCGTCCGGTTTGGACGGTCATTAGGGACTGTGGGTGCGAGGAGTGTGGTATGGTGTCACGTAGGAAAACGCAGCTCTATGTACACTAGTAGAGTGCCCGTGCATTGCTACAGGCGACAATATAGATAATCAGCATTCTTATACTCACAATGTTTTTTTTCTATATGGGCAGTTCTGGAATTTTGGTAGGAGTCAATAGATCATGTATATGTTTGAGGCAAACAACAGCTAGTTCCTAATTACAGTGAGTGAGATGTGTCTTCGGGGAACAACTAACACTCTTTTGATTAAATGGAAGTGACACAATCCAGCCAGGAAGATAGAAACCTGACAAATAAAAAAAGGATACGGGCAAACTGCACCCACAACACACCACTTGATCATATTCATACAATAGTGTTGGCAGCATGCTGCTAGGTCTCTCCGGCCTCGTCCTGATAGATAGCCTCGTCGGTGTCGCACTGTGATGTCTCTCGTTGTGCTGTTCAGCCTGGTGCTCGTGCCCCCCACGCTCGCCGTCACTGGGTTCATCGCCATCAGTGTGCATACCTTGTTCTGATAACAATGATTGAGTATCATGTTTATTGTCCTGAACCTAGAGTCAAACAAAACCATGTTTCAGGGACATTCACACGCAAAGTAAAGATAAACAACATGCATAACTTTGGCTAGACCGAACTACAGTGTGGTTTGGTCGTACCTCAACAAAACGCCAGAGACGCCATCCGGCACCCATTCATTGCACCCGCTGATCAAATAGTAGGACCTACAAACTGGTTATACACTAAAAAGCTAAGCATGATTAGTATAAACCTAAAATAGATTTAGCAAACAGAACCACATATAACTCCCAAGCAAGGAAAGGTACCTCTGCATCAGTAGAACGCCTATGAGTTGCAACGGATTGCATTGACGACTTCTTTTTTTACCGTTCAAGCACCCTTCTTCTCTTCCTTCTCCCAGCTAAAAATGTTTCTCCGAGTGATATGTCAATGGTTAAATTTACACTACATAAAGGAAGGCGAAATGGCTCATCATAAGATACGATTCACTCGTCTGTAATCATAAACATCATATTCTTGTTTCATCAAGCAACAGATAACATGGTTGTACACAATGGCCATGCAAAACTGGTAAAGAAAACAAACAATTGGACCATGGTATGTTTCCAAATGAAATTGATGTGCATTGCAATGGAAAGTATGAGACCTATCTTGGAATAGTTGCAGAAAACAAGAGAATATGGGTGAAAGACTAAAATATTTGTTGCAACTAATCTACTTTTCTTAAAATTAGTTTACCTACAAAATCACCATTCAGTCTGGTAGTTCAGAGGATGTGTTTGATGTCAGTTCAGAAGGTTGAATATGAGACTATACCAGAAGCAAAGGATTCCCTGAAGGAGTAGCTATTGAAGATATTTCATATTCTTTATATCGAACAGGTGTGACTGGCTGGTATTATTTTTCAAACAAGCGTCTTCTGACATGTCAAATATCCAATCAAAGTCTGACCTACCTAGACTGAAACCAAAGTTCATAGACATGCGTGTAAACTGGAAACTATCCCGCGCCACAACCCCGACATGCCACCGCTCTTCCTCGAGCAGCAACGCCGCATGATACAACTAACTGTAGCCCACGCTGCTCATGACAGCCGCACACAAACCATGAACGCCGCACCACCTTCCGGTGCCGCTACCCCCACCACTGTCCCTCGAGCACTAACGCCGAACGATACAGCTACCCGCAGCTCACGCTGCTCAGGCCAACCGCACATAGACCACGAACGCTGCACCACATCCTGGGCCACTGCCCCAACATGTCGTCCAACAGTCCCGACTGGGGCCCATTGATGGAGCTGACAACCTTGCTGCTTCCGCACTTCAAGGTCCTCACCAAGCCATGCCGACAAGCAGCCCTACCTCTTGGAGTTGTTGTCGCAGTACTGCCCGAGGCTGCAGCCTCGACACTTAATAGAAGATCCCGGAGCCGCAGACTCGACATACACCGCCCTTGAAAACGAAGAGCCCCACACGACATCCAAAGGCTGACCCTCCAAGGCAACGCCTCCGAAGATGGTTACGACGTAAACGCCATTGTCTCCCGTAGAAAACTGGACTTTAGGTTCTCACCCGGAGAGCCCAAGCACATGAAAGGATAGGAAGATGTCTACGACTATGCCTCTAAGAAGGTCACGGAGCTTTTGCTCGAGTCCCTGATCTCCTACCAGTGAGCTTGCTTGCAAATCTGGTCACACAATAATATCCAGGCCATCAGAGCCAAGCACATTGTGTAGGTCACCCCCTGCCGTCAGCCGACATAGCCCTCACGCGACGACCAGCTACAGCAACTCATGCGACATAGAAACAACGCGGTTGTCAGGGTCAGATCTGAGTGCATCGCTCCAAATCCACCATCCTAAGCCGGTGCAGCAGCCCCTGCCATAGCAGCCATCAGCCCAAGGCCGCTGCCCCAGCATTCTCTGGCGCCGCAACCACCGGCTACCCCGCTGCAGATCCGCAAAACCACCGGCCACCTGTACGCCTTACTTGGCCAGCGCACATGCCAGATCGGCTCGCACCCTGGCCGAACCCGCGGTCACGCGCACCAGCGCGCCATGCCGCCGCCAGCTCGCCCTCACCAATAAATATAAATGAAAAGTGAAATTATGTAGTCTTAATTGCACAATCAAATCATCCTCAAGCAAATAAAGAGGTAGTTGTTCATCTAAGGCTGCATACCTAGTAGTTGGAAATTGGAAGCACTTAGAAATAAGCATAACATATCAGAAACACAATTTTCTTTTCTATCAGCGATCTCCCCCACATGAAAAGAAGATAGTATGCTCAAAAATCATTATTCGTCACAAAGGATGTATTTAACTAAAATGCATAAGACCAAACAATGCACAAAAATGGCAATAGTAGGCATAATTGTTATCCAAGTAGTGCTAACCAGAAACTACGTATGTCCATTGTGTCGATCATCCATACGTTCGGAT